CTGACAAGGTTGTGGAGCTCCAGGGCACATGTGCAGATCGTAGGATCTGGATGAGTCTGCAGCCCTTGAGTGCTGTGCCTGGAACCAGTCAGAAAAGTGCTATGTTCAATTTTTCACTTATATCTGGCATAAAAACAAGGAAACCTTTAAGAGGATAGTTTAAATATGGCACCAGGTGAAGTGAGTTTTTGACTGGACAACCAACCCAATGTCTTATTTACATAAGAAAAAGCCAATCCAGCAATTCCAGATTTAAAGGACCCCCTTCTCCCATCCTCATGGCTGTTCACTGGCCTGCTATTATTCTACAGAGCATACTTCTTTTTTGCTTTCAATCAATTTACACCCTGCTATCTTTTCTGTGTGTTTTACCCAATTCTTTGTTCCTGAGACCCTGGAAAGAATTTTCCCAGGATGTGTTATCTGGTAATACTATCTTAGTACCAGAACCGTGGCTAAGTTTGTGTGCGATCTTTATATTGTATAATTATGGCTTCTTATTTCCTACCCTGTATCACAATTTAAAAGTGTACCTCTCTATGTTCTCTTCTATTTTTCTCCAGAACTCCTATCTCCTTTCCTGAAAGTATGCATTCACTTGTTGCTGTTGTTGATGTTTGACATCCCTGCTAGAACTTAAGTTTCATGAAGCAGGAAATTTTGTCAGTTATGTTTATTATTTATCCTAGAAATGTCCTGTTGTAATATAGTTGTACAATAAATATCAGTTGAATAAGTAGAATCTTAATCTTGATGAAAACAAGATGCAAAAATAACAATGATTTAACTTTCCTACATGTATTTAACTCATTCACAAGTGGTTAGACATTAAAAACTGTTCTGCAGAAACCCTTTAAGTGCACCGAAATTATTTCTATCAGCATGTTTTGTTCTTCAAAACATATATAGAGGAGGATAAGGATAAGGATAATGAAGGATACTGGATGTTTCCCGAAGCAAGTAGACTTGGCTCCTTAAACATAAGAGCTCAGGGACTCATAACTATTCCAGCAAAACCTGCAGATGCTCATCACACCCCTGAGGTTCTGAGACTTGCTTGTTTTATATCACCAACTCAGGACAAAGTGTTGCCCCCAGTTCTGTGATTCTTAGTACAGTCTCAGGGAATCTTGTGAGATAACAGATGACTGAGAATGAATTAATTGTTTAGGGCTTTCTCTATTTGAGATTGTCCAACTCCTAGTAGATACTTTCCAGAAAGGATGCACCAGCATGCTGTGAGTTCTATGATGGCAGTTACCCAGGCTGCTCCAAGACTTAGCTTTGGGGCCAGTCTAGTTTAATGAAACTGGCTGATGTTGGCTGGTGTTAGCAGGGCCAAGTATACTTTTTACTGAGATATAGGTGCCTTCCCCTCTCATCAAGTGTGGACCATCACAAACTCAACATTTGGCCTCTAAGATTTTTTTTTTTTTGTATTTTAGGGAAGGGTCTACAGGGTGTTCAGGGTCTCACTAGTAGATCAAGACTCATAGTGATCCACCTGTTTACAGTCTCCCAAGAGCTGGGATTATAGGTGGGTGTCACCATGCCCAGTTTCAATTGCTGTCTCAGCAAGCCCTGGGGGAGGGGCTGGTACAGAAGGCCCAGGGATTGAACCCCCGGCCCCTGTGCTTGCTTGCAGGCACTTTAATCTGCTGAGCTATTTGGCTGGCCCTCACATTTGGCCTCTATAACAGATAAAAGTCTAAGTTTTTCTACAAGAAGGAGGAATAATTGTTCTCACAGGTTCTGGAGTAGTATAATGAATGGATGAATCCAAATGGTATGATATTGTAAGCAACTTCGCTATAGGCCTCTAACATTACCATCTGATTTAGTTTTTAAATTGAAAGAAGTTGGGCAGGTATGCAAACATGTGAAAATCACAAAGCTGTGAATTACCTGTGCTATTTTTAATTGCTTCAAAAGTTTCAATGTGTTCTTTTTGGAAAAAAGCCTTACATGAGCTATTGTTCTAGTGGTACATAGGGTACTAGATCATGTTTTACACTCATTTATGCTTTTTTTTTGTTCATTTGTTTTTATTTATTACAGGGTCTCACTACTAGATCAGACTCATAGTGATCCTTCTGTTTACAGCCTCCCTAGTCCTGGGGTTACAGGCATGCACCAACATGCCCAGGCGGGGCTGGCACAGTACACTGGGGATCAAACACCAGCATCCACATCTGCCTAAGCAGGCACTTTAATCCACTGAACTATCTGGCCGGCCCAACACTTTTTTTTACCTCGGATAACTTTTAAAGCTGCTTTGTTGAGATATAATTAACATAGATTGTGATTCACCTAATCTAAAATAAACAACTTAATAGTTTTTAATAGTATGGCATTCATAGTTACACAGTCATAACTACAATCAGTTTTAGACCATTTGCCTTATCTCCAAAGATACCCTATACACTCTTTAGCAGTTGTTCCCCTTCCATTCCATCCTATGACAAAATTAGTCTATTTTATGTCTCTATAGATTTGCTGAATATAGATTCATCAGTGCATACTATGATTGCTCTCTTTTTTTGGCAATTGAGTAATGTTGCTATGAGCATTTGTGTATCAGTTCTTCCATGTATATGTTTCAGGTCTCTTCAATATATGTTTAGGAATGGAATTGTTGTGTTATTTGTTAATTCTGTGCAGCTTTTTGAAAAATTACTGAGTTGTCTTCTCCAGCAATATCAACATTTTACATCCCTACCAGCATGACAGTTTCAAATTCTCTGTGATCTTTCTTTGTGTATGCACTGAAGATCAAGCCTAGGGCTTGCATTTACTAGGCAAGCATTCCGTTAGCAATTTCCACCTAAACCCTAATTTCTTTACATCTTCTCCAACACTTGTTATGTTTGTTTGGTTGTTGTTGCTGTTGTTATACCCATAAGTATAACCATAACAACCATATATCATCGTTGGAAAAATGTCATTTCAAATCCTTTGTGCAATTTAAAATGGGCTTTAAAATTTTTTTAGGCTCTTTATTATTGGCTAGAAGAGTGGTGGGTGGGATGATGGCTGAAAGAAGAATGCCTCAGACTCCTCAGGTGGTCTTGTCTGCAATACAGCTTGTGCAACGGAAAGCTGAGGAGGATGAGAAATGGTGGTCTGCTGCTTCTTGGAATCTACTGTGGTTGTAGACTGGAGTCTAGGTTGAGAATGAATATCACATCCTTTGCTGTATTTACTCAGAATGAAGCACCATTCAGCATCACCACACCCCGGATGCAGGAGGGTGAAAAATAGATTATGGCTCAAATGCTACCAACTCTTGCTGTTCTTACTAAATGCTATAGATTGTCATCACTAAATGTTTCTTCATTTGCTGTATTACTTCAGGATATCCAGAGATAAGCTATACCATGTGTATTGTGTTTTAAATAGTGGGTTTATAAAGATTTCTACGCCACTGCTTTAGAAGTTGAGTCCCAGTTAGATAATATTATTAAAGACTACTTCTTGTATAGACAGTGTTCAAATAGTTTATGCTGACAGTAGGGGTAAAATTGGTTAGAGAATATAAAGGATATTTTTTGTTTGTATTTTAGTACAGTACAGGATCTACAGGGTGTCACTACACAGATCAGACTCATAGTGATTCTCCTGTTTTTCCTCCCAAGCGTTGGGATTGCAGGTGCACACCACCACACCCAGTCTCAGTCTCCTGTCTCAGTGTGCCCCAGGGGTGGCACCAGCACAGCATGCTGGGGATTGAACCCCAGTCCCTGTGTCTGCCTAAGTAGGCCCTTTAACCTACTGAGCTACCTGGCTGGCCCTAATAAAGGATTTTTAAATAAAACTATTTGCAAATTTATACAATGGATTAAGAAAATCAGTGAGAGTTGAGAACAGGTTGATTTTCAACTTTGAATCTAGTAAAATTCTAAACTACCCAGGCATTTGGCTTGACAGTCCATATTAATTTATTGTTAAGTAGTTGTATTGAGATATTTTAATAAGGCTGACATTACATTTCATTCTAAAGTATGTTGGTGAACTCGTAGTAGTCTTTGTACAAAATCAGAGTTATCAAAATTTATAAAAATAATGTTTTTTAAGAAGTATAGTGATAATTCAGAGGTGGAAGTCAAGTTATTAAAACTTCAACAGTTTCATGCCTAAATTTTAAAAGTTCATTAGAAAAAAATGACCAGATATTTCTTAATTTTGGTTTAATTCAAAATAGCTACTGCACCACAAAGTCTTAGAAAATCAACCTTGTCAACTTCCTTGATTCACTTATTAGGTCTTTGAGGACTAAGAGTTTTGCATTTAACAGTTTCTCAAATTTTTTCTTTGATCATGAGTTGTGCTTATCTGTGAACTGACAACTAGTTGAATGCCATTTTAACTGAAATAAACCAAGAATCTCACTCAAATCTTACAGTAATCTATCTACTCTAATCCCCTTTCCCAGCAGTGCACAAACTTCATCAGACTGTAGTTGCTGAAGTTTGGTTATTTACAGATGATTGCCTAGGCATTTTTGAGGAAATACATACTGCTTAATAATCATGAAAGTGTTTAAATCCATTCTTTGGTGAAAATTCTTCACCTTTTTGGTAGTTGACTTGTGTATGTTATTACCTAAAGTAGTTTATTGGCCAAAGAAAGTGTTGCATAATAGCACGAAACTAGACAAGGTTGAGTATTTAAGAAACCTTAAAGATAAAAATATTCCAAAGGTATTTTTCTTGAATAGTTATTAAGGAACAATATGGATAAAAATGGAAAGAATTAATAGTTTTCTTTTGTCTGGGAAAGTTTCACCATCAAAGTTTGGCTTCTGTGGAGTGAAACATCTTAGTTTCCAACATAATAAAAAGCAAATGGAAAAACCCATTTCAATTAAAAACTGTAATGCAGTTGAAATACTAAACTGATACATTGCATCAAAACTTAGTGTTAACCCCCCTCCTTCTCTAAAGCAACAATTTCCTACTCTTCGAGCTGCTTCACAGATATTTTGGGAGATGCTTACTTACCTCCACGCTGCCGGCGCTTTCTGTGGCTTTAGCTGATGCTCTGGCTCCTCCCCAGCCGCTCTGAGCTGCTCGCTGCGTGGGGCACCCAGAGACTCCCAGAGTTAGGTGTTTGGCCCCGCCTTCTGCATTATTGCTAAAACTCCAATTCTGCCAGACTGATTCCGGTGATTAATTATTGACAAAAGGAAAACACTCTTACGCAAACTTGTGCCCAACCGCAATGCTCCCAGAGACTCCTTCCTCCTAGAAGAGCCCGCCGGCTGCACCACTCCCCTCCCCCTGCTCTACGGTCCCAACTTCCTAGGCGCTGCCACTGTCCTGGGAGATCGCGCCCGTCTCGGAGGAATGCAGCGCGGCGACTTCTACATTTTAAAATGTGGCTATCTTTTATCTGTAGCTCGTTCTCACTTCTTCGGGGACCAGCCTCTTAGGAGGGGTGCTTTTCCGATGCAGGGGAACCGGTGCTCCGAAAGCAACTGAGGAGGAGGCAAGACGTCGCTGTCACCTCCAGCTGCTGCAGTAAAACCCTGAGCCGAGGCAGGGATGGGGAGGAGGAGACAGGGAGGCGCCCTTCCCCTAGCTTGCCCTCGGAGCCCCGACACTACCAAAGGGGCACGTCCTCTGGTGGTAGCGCGCGTGTTGCGTGTGTGTGTGTGTGTGTGTGTGTGTGTGCGTGTGCGTGCGTGTGACGGGGTGAAGGAGGATAAACAGGAGGTGCCAAGGTGAGAGTCCCAGAGACTCCAATCTAAGCCAGTACTGAGCCGCTCAGGAAGAAGCCTGCGCCCCGCGCCCCTCAGCCTGCAGACTTTGACAGGAGGGCGAAGGAGCCACGCGGCTGTGGTCTGAACTCCTCAGGCTGCAAAGCGAGCCCAGGGCTCGGGCCGGGGCAGCAGTGAGCCCACGGGCATCCCGCCTCATTCGGCGAGAACCGAAGAAAGCGACCCTTTTTAGTGTCGGCAGGGAAGGTTCGGTGTCTCCGGCCGGGTAAACGCCTCCCCGCCGCAGCCCTGCACCTGCCCGGGGCCCTGCACCTGCCCCAGGCCCTGCACCCGCCCCCTTCCCGCGGTGCTGCGAGGCTAACGGTTGAAAAACTGCCCCCTCCCCCGGTGGATAGATGGAAGAATCGAGTCTGGAGAACTTGTGCATGCTCACTCACAGGTGCAGGGAATTAATTAGGGCCCCACTGCGGCAGGAGAGCGAACTGGGCGAGAGGGCTGGGCTGCGGCGCCGCCGAGCTCCAGCAGCTTCCGGGGCGCGCGGGACCCTAGGAGCACCGTCCCTGGAAGTCCACAGTTGAAACACCCTCAAGCGCTTCTGTCCTTCGACTCGGGGCTGCGCTTGCATTTGCTGCTCCCCCGGAACTTGGAGGACGAGAGTGCCCCTGGCCCTTGGCTTCGCGGCGAGATGCTCTCTGCCCGAGGCCCAGAGGCGCCCGGGGGCGACAGCCGCCTTTGATTAGCGAGCATTTGGGTAGCATCTGCCATCGCCTCCCCCTGCGGAAGGAGGAGGCCGTGCACAGGCTCTGCTCCGCCGGGGCTGACAGTGCTGAAGCGCGAATCTGAGCCGCTGGCAGGTTTCTAGGGTTCGTCACCGCGCGCTTTCAGCGGGTTCCAGGCTGCCAGGCTGAGAGCGAGGCTCGCGCTATTACTGGGCAGCGGCGTCCTCCTGCAGGAGGGAGGGCTTCCCCAGAGGGAGCCGAAGGGGGTTGGGGACGCGGAAGGGAACCCGCAGAAGCAGTACCTGCTTGGAGCCTGTGTTAGCCATTTTAGCGCTCTCTCTCCCTTCCGAGGTTGTATTGGCAATCACTGCAAGTATGTTTATTTCTTTATCACTTTATGTTGGTCACTTTCCTTATCTCTTGGTTTCTCCAGGCACACCTTGGAATGTTGGCCGGGCAGATATGACCACCAGGGTACACAAAGGAGGAAGTAGAAACCCTGAGAAAGGAGTCTGGCCTCACCAACTCGTGTGTGCAGAGGCCAGTAGTATTTATTCCAGCTTCTCCATCGTCAGTGTTAGTTCCCTAGTCCCTCACTGGGTCGTGACACGCCTCCACTGTAAGGGTTCCTTTGTGGAAAGGCTGGAGCAGATCTTCCTGCCATAGATTTGGGAAATGGATAGGAGTGAGGCCTGGAAACAACTGCAGCTGGAGATTGGGAGAAGTTGGCGCCGCTGGCCAGTGAAATTAGCGTCAATGACATGGATGCACCGTAACCACACCCAGGCACAGCTCTGTGTGCCCTGAAGTGTGGAAGAGATCTAACCAAGTCACAAAGTACAGGTCAACGTAATTTAAAAGGCAGAGACTGTGCAGACTACTACATCATCCACCAAATAGAATAAGGAAAGCTAGGGTGGACCTCTCTGGTAGAGTGCTTGCCTGACTGACATGCATAAGGCCCTGAGTTCAATCCCCAATACCACACAGACTCACAAAGAAGGATAAAGTTATAAAAAAAATTCCTGATTTATATCCAATTGGAATTTTTTTTTTTGGGGGGGGTGGAACCAGGGATCGAACTCAGGCCCTTGTGCTAAGCGCTTATTCTACTGCGCTATCTCCCCGGCCCCTTTTATATGAAACACTTCACGAATTTGTGTGTCATTCTTGCGCCGGGCCGTGCTAATCTTCTCCATATCGTTCCTTTTTTTAACGTATATGTGCTGCTGAAGTGAGCACAATTTTTTCTTTCTTCTTTCTTCCTTTCTTTCTTTCTTTCTTTCTTTCTTTCTTCTTTTTTTCCTGTATTTTAGGGAAGGGCCTACAGGGTGTTCAGGTTCTCACTACTACATCAGACTCATAGTGACTCTCCTGTTCACAGCCTCCCAAGAGCTGGGATTACAGTCACACAACATCACGCCCCGTCTTCCCATTGGAAATTTAAAGATGCTCTAGATCTGGATTAAAAAGAATCACAAATTAAATATTACAATTCTTTTAAAATTTCACTTTAATTGTACAAATTTATGGGGATGGTGTGATAATTTGATACATGCAATTATAAATATTAAATCAGAAGTTAACACTTAAATTTCCTTAAGTGATTTAAACATCTCTGTTTAATACATCATAATTGTGCATATTGTGAGTAGAATGTGGTAGCAATTCACAGACTCTTTAGGAACAGAAGAAAAGCAGAAGCCTTTATAACAAAACTGGGACAGTACAGAAAAGCCCAACTCATGAATTCATATAATATTAAGTATACATATTTATTTATTCCAATTGGTTGTTTTATTGCTTGCACATTTGTACAATGAATATTTATGTACATTATGCATATGTATTGCGATGCAATGTACAATCCATACTTAGAAGCACTAAAACAGAATTGTTAATAAATAAAGGTAAAATCAGAAATCAATAAAATAAGAAAAATTTAAAAATCCAGAGGGCATTATCAGTAAAGGAAAAATATTTTCTAAAGAGATTAGGAAACCAATTAAGAAAGAGCCAATTTTCTCTTTATTGGCTTTTTTTTTTGTACATTGCTGTAATAGTTACATTGCTTTTTAATTAAAGAAAAATCACTGAGAAAAAAAGAAAGAAAGCAGGGTTGTTGATTTTGTGATTTCTCTTTAATGGTATCCGACTTCTCTGTCCGTTCATCATTTTGTAGTCTATCATTACTGTAACCATTACCATTTTTGTAACTGAAAAGATTTTATGAAACACAGTATGAGGAGAATAAACAATACTGTAAAGTAGTTTTACCAAAACCTGAGGTATCTGTCTCACTGAGGAATAAAGCAGGATTTTTTTCAGTTTCACCTCCACATTGTAAAAACCTGTGCAAATATGTTTTCCTATGGTGACTCGTCTCTGAGGCTTAAAATAAGTATAAGTGAATGTCTTCAACAATAAAAATGTAACATCAATATCTATGAATCTTACACTTAAATTGCTACAACAAAATATTGGCAGAAAAGATTTTTAAAAAAAGAGCCAAGACACAGAGAAGATACAAAAAAAAATGGACAGGAGAAATTACACACAACCACAGACAAAGATTGAATAAAAAGGGCTGGGTAGATAGCTCAGTGGACTAAATTGCCTTCTTAGGCAGAGAACAGGGACCATGGTTTGATGCCCAGGGTGTCCTGCTGGCCCTGCCCCCAGTGCTGAGATGGGTACTGAGACTGGGCATGGTTGCACGCACTTGTAATCCCAGTGCTTGGGAGACTGAAAACAGGAGGATCGCTACGGGTCTGATCTGTGTAGTGAGACCCTGAACACCCTGTAGACCCTGTACCGAATACATTAAAAAGAAGTAGAAATATTGACTAAAAGACTCCAATTGACTTGCCCCCACCCTCTACCCTCCACCCTCCAGAAGACTCTCTGTGGTTGCTGGTTAGTAGTGATAGGTTTTAGAGGCAGCAGCAATGGTGGAGGCCCAGCAGAGAAGCAGAAATAGGGAAAGGGAAGCCTTGATTAACTCTAAACACAGGACAGCATGGAGGGCAAGAAGATGGGCAGGTCCTCTGACCTGAGACATAGAGCCTGAGGTAACGGTTGTGGACTTTTGCTCGGGGCGGAGTTTGAGGGGCAGGTTTAGTGACACACAAAGAGCTGTTTGGAGGCTCTGTGGTGTGAGCAGGAAAGGTAAAAGGAGGTTGTACCCAGGGCTGGAGTAGGGGAAGGAGGAGGAAGTGGTCATTGGGAAGATAAACTGTTGTTTTGGGGATTCAGCCATGTTGGATCAGGGCCATGATAATTTAGCAGTCTGTACTCCCGCTGTAACCTATCATTCCCATCATTTGGTTGTTATGAAGGGGCAGTGAACTTCTTAGGCTGCTTCCTGCTGCACGGGGGCATCATCTGGGGGCAAGGAGAGTTGAGAAGATGATGGTTTCTGCCATATAGAAACCAGTGCCAGGTGTTTCAGCCAGGATGAGAAGTTTATCGTTAGTGAAGGCTCACATCTGAGACTGAGGAAATCTTGTGGCACCTGAAAGTCATCTGGGCAAACAGTCTAGAGTTTAGGTGGAGATGTGTAGGGAGACAGGAGTTGGGGAGACCACTCAGGATCAGGACCAGGAAGAGAAGGGTTGTTGGGTGGAGTCAAGTTGTCTGGACAGCAGTTGGCTTAGGTGATGTGGAACCAGGAGGGCAGGCTGGCTGGTGACTTTTATCACTGTTGCTCTTGGGAGAATGACCAGATAGGGGTCTGTGCATGTAGGATCTAACCCTGTAGCTTAGAGGATTTAAGATATATTAAATCCCCAGGAAATATAGATGACACCAATTGAGTGGTATCTATTGCTTGTGGAAGGCGGTGTCAGTGTGTTGCCGCAACAGGTACCAGAGGAAGATAGAACAATAGTATAGTCAGTGATGGGAGGAAAGTTGTCAGGAGTGAGGAAGTTATGAAGCAGAAAAGGTCTCCCATACATGAGCTCAAATGGACTTAGGAAGGTAGGTGCCCTCGGAAGTGCTCTGAGCCTAGTTAGAACTAATGGAAGGAACTGAAGTTGATGCAAGTGGAGCTCTAGGTTCAGTCTGGTGAGATGAGATTTTTTAAATGTCCAATTGTCTCTATTACTCTCTAGTACTGACTGTAGCAACTAGACCTTGTGCAATAACTATAGAATACCATCATGGCTCCTGTAGATGGGAATAAGATTTAAAGAACAAGGCAGAATTGTTTAGAATTGAACAGCAGAAGTGAGGTAGGATAAAACAAAAATACAACTAAGTAGAAAGGAGACCAAGAAATTGAGAATGTAAGATTGTACTTTTAAGAAAAACTGCAGCTTTAAGACAAGCTTTTTCTTAGACTTAAGAGTTTGCTCCCCTGGGGCTAATCTATCTCTTAAATCCTTAACTCTTTGCTGATAGCTGAGCCTTTGAGGGGGCACACACATTATCTTGTAGGCTCTGAGAAATTTAAGACTTAAACTGCATTTTTATCAGAATTTAGCTTTATGAAGCTATAAATAAAATGATCATTTATATATATTGGAGCAGTGCCCCCATTTTTTAAGGTTAGAAATTTCAATTATTTGCCAAAGCATTTTTAAATAAGTAGGGGCTGTCTCTGAACCCCTGAGGCAGGACTGTTTAAATATATTGGGTAGTTTTCATAGTATCAGGATCAGTCTACTCAAACTGATACTGTAAACCAGAATATAATAGGGTGCAGGAAAAATAATCTTTAATATCTAAGACAGTACATCATGCAATTTTACTCAGGATTTGGATTAAAGTAGTATATGGTATATGAACTATAGAAAG